AATTCATGATTAAGCTGAAGGTAGATCTTTGAAGCCAAGCTCTACTAGAAAACATAAAGGTTACATGCACTAAATAATCACCTATAGAACTTAGAGCCATTCATAGAGAAAATCTGCAAAATTTGTAATAAAAAATCAAGAAGATCAATAATAGTTTTTCCTTATATAGATAACCTTGATATTTCAATAAGTAACAATGTTTGAACAGAATTTTAAACAAGGTTGTTTCTAGCTTTCTTCAGGGTGAGGCAATCAGTTGGTTGAGACACTTCCTTGAACCTTATAGCTTGTAGATTCTGTCACATACATGATCTATATCAATTTCATGAAGTACATCTGAGAATTACTCATTTAAGATTCTCCTTAGAAAATTTAATTTTAACAAATCGTGTGATGGATATTTTACTTTATGGTGGGGTATGATTCTGAAAAGAAGGTGCACATTGAAACTAAGAAATGTAACACTTTCCAATTTTTTAAAGATTAAAATACCAAGGCACGTGCAGTGGTGTGTGCCTGTAGTCCTACTGGCTTGGGAGGCTGAGACAGGAGGATCCTGATTCAAAGCCAGCCTGAGCAACGGCGAGGCACTAAGCAACTCGGTGAAGCCCTGTTTCTAAATAAAATACAAAATAGGGATGGGGACATTGCTCAGTATTGGAGTGTCCCTGAGTTCAATCCCTGCTATAAAAAAAAAAATGAGAATTAAAATACCAGGATTGTGTTCTCCATTTCTCATTGCTCTTCAATTGGCAGTAGTAAATTTTCCAAAGTCACAACACCAGTCAGAAGACCCAGAACAACAACTTACATTTTCAGACTACCAGTTTCACTCTCTTTCAAGTATAACCTATTTGTGGAAGTATAAAACATTTTTCCATCTCCAAAACTAATGTCATCTAAAGCAAGGTTTTTATGGATGAGTTGTTAATGTGATGGACATCTGTCTTTTAAAATGACTTTCTCTGTGTAATACAAATCAGGAAGAATGGTAATTTTCTAGTGCACATATATACCTGATTTTATTCTATTTGGCACAATTTTCATTCTTTTTCTGATGCTATTGCCTTTGAAAAATCTCAAAAATTTTGTGGTTAAGTGCCTCTATTTTATTTTTGTTGTTGTTTGTTTGTTTAGTTGGAATTTTCAGTCAGATTGCTAGTCTCTTATTTGCAAATAAATAAATAAATAAATAAATAAATAAATAAATAAATTAAATTAAATAAAGGCAGAAACCTACAATACTACTTTAAAGAAAAATCCTATTATTAGCAAATCCAGATCTGTATGTTTAACAAAAGTTATTTGTGGTTGTAAACTCCTTGAGAGCAAAGACTTATGCCATATCCCCAAATTAATCTTAGCACCTAGCTGAACACTTGGCATGGAGTCAACATCAAGTTAAATGAATGAGTGAAGAAGCCTCATGCAGTAAACAGGAATGCAGGGCAGATATTAAAATCAATATGGATACTAATTCATATCAACAATCTTATCTAGATTTAGAAAAAAGATTGATCCAAATTTTTACACCTATATTAAACTGTGATGAAGTTCTTACTAGAATCCTGACATGGCCATTAATGTTTTACATCATAGACTCTTACTCTAAAGAAAGAAACATGCAGCACCATTCCCCAATAATCATTCCTCAAGAGTTTAAGAGCTTTCCTTATTAGATATTAATCTGCACTTAGATCTCTGAATAACTAAACATTTTTTTGATATAAAACCATGACATGTACAAGCCAAAAAGAACTTTGGCATATGACTATGAACAATTCTGCTAAGAAAATTTATTCTTTAATTCATATGCTTATGCTCACAAATGAGAAAAGAGAGAACCTTTAAAGCTATGGATGGGGAAGAGCTGTAGAATTGCCCATAAGCAAGTTGGTTGGCTATTCAGTACAGAGGTAATTTTTATGGAGCGTAAAAAATCTTTCAGAGGGTAAAGGTGAATAAACAATTAAAACGTAACATATAAATAAGCCTGATGATAATGTGGGACATGACCACCCCCTTCCCTCTTTATCCCACTTTCTATCGATATATTTTAATAAAATTCTTACATTTAAATTACATTAAACAAGCCAATATCATCAATGAAACAGTACTCTTCAAAATATAAAGAAAGAAAGAAAAATAGTGGCTGGGGCTATAGCTCAGTGGCAGAGCTCTTGTCTAGCACATGTGAGACACTGGTTTTGATTCCTAGCACCACATGAAAAAAATAAAATAAAAAAATAAAATAAATAAAGGCATGTTGTCCATCTATGACTACAAGAAAAAATTTTAAGAAAAGAAGAAGAAAATACATATATTTTATAATACTCAACCACAGGATACATTTATTAGGCATACTCAGCATGTCAAGTACCAGGGATATAAAAGAAAGTCAGTTACTTTCCTGGTCCTTCAGGTTGTTCACTTGTAAGGATTTCTTCCCACAGGAGCAGACTCTCTGGAATGCATGCATTTCCTTCAGCTATAATTGTTAGAGACAACCTTTAAATAATCTGCAGTGCTTATTGGGAAATTAAGCTGAATTACTTTAGAACTTGGTATACTTTCCACTATAAAAATGTGCATTAGTAGAAATGTGTCAACTCTTAGGTTATGTAGACCTTGATCGGCATCCTGATGGAGCATATTACTTAGCCTCTATTTTAATATATTCATCAGGTAAATGGGGCAAAGACATACTTTGCAGGTTTTTTGTGAGGAGTAAAAATAATACAGGTAAAGTGATGCACATGAATCAATTAACAAATAATAATTATATTAGCCTGACATTGCCTTTCAAATGTGGTGACTTCAAAAACTTTTTTATTTTTATGAAAAAATATCAGTTTGCATTTTTAATTTCAAGGAATACAGTTAGTCCTTGGAAACTAGAATTACAGCATAGTGATAAAAATAAAACATAATAAAAAAATAATATTGAATGGGGGTAAGGAATTTTACTAAAGAGAGTTCTAAGTAGCAATCACTATAACACTTAATGCATTATCATTGTTTTCAGTCATAATATTTGCATGAAAATATTAGTATGCAATAATAGAGAATATCCTCCAGGGCAGAAAACAAAGGGAAGAGAGCTCAGTTGAACTCAACCCAAAGCATAGTTATCTTTCAAGCTCTACTTTATTAAATGAAATGAATTTTTAATATTATTTTATATGATATTTAAAAATGTTATTGTATTTTTATGCTTTTATTTTATTTGTTTATATTTATGTGGTACTGGGGATTGAACCCGGTGTCTCATGCATGCTAGGTAAGCGCTCTACCACACAGCTACATCCCCAGCCCTTCATCTGATATTTAGAGTGTGATTTTCACATTCGGAGTCACACATATCAAAAGAATACAGAATTTTAGGAGAGAGATGGTGATATTACAAATCGTTGAATTTAGCACTCAATAGAAGAAGAAAGTGTCCATTTTGGAATGAACTTGCTCAAAGGAGAGGAAATATGGGAGGGGAGACAGTGGTGCATAAAGAGGAAGCAGCAGAAGGTGGTGGCGAAGGCATGGTGCTTGGTAAGCAGGCTTGAGCCCATGCAGGTGACTAGAACAGACTAGAACAGAGCAAAGGCGATGCTGAGGAGCAGCAACCATTGTAAACCAACTGAGGCATCTGGCAACTGCTGGCATGTAATGCTACTCTCTGCTTCAGAGCGGCGTCCTGAAGCTTATTTGGAGAAAGGAGGAGAACTTTAGCTAAACAGTGGCTTAAGTCAGAACATCCAGATGACATGCTTTGATCTGCTAAGCAGGATGTCCAAGGCTAGAAAGGAACTTGCATCTCACCTATCTCACCTCAGACTCCAGCCCCAATGAAGCTGAGTGACTAGTCCAAGGTTACAAAGCTGTTGAAATCAGGATTAACAAAGATTGTTCTACTCCAAAATTTTCTGGTGGAGAAGGATCACAGTAACTTAAGTATTGGCAAAGAGGTTAATTAGGTCATATCTAAAGATTAGCTTAGAGAGTCTGTGAATAAATTTCTTGAAGGAGGCCACAGTGCAACTCAATTAGAGGGGGGACTTGAACTTGTATCTATAAAAGGCTCTTAGAAAAGTTCCATAAGAGTGCGGAAGACTAGTATCAAAGTGAAAAGGAGATACAAAATGTGCCTGATGATTTTGGGTAGATTGTTATCTATGACACTGTCTATTCTATAGCTTACATGGGCATTAAAATTACCATAATCCATTTCTAGAAGGATAACTCAAATAATTCTCATATTCCTAATTCTATAGAGTCTATTATAGAAATTCAAAGGAATACTATTTTACATTGTTAGAGCTGAATTTATTGAGCATATGCTTGTATTTCCAAACTGAAACAAAAATTTAAATTTGTCTCAAACAGAACTCAAATGTATATTTTATATTATTAAACCAATCACTGAATAGCAATAATATTTCAAATACTGAATAATAGACATGATATAAGCCACTTTGACTATATTAATACCACATTAGCACATTTTATTTTTATAATAAGAAAATAGAGAGTGCTTTAGGATTTATGAATATAGAATAAAGACTCTGATTAATTTAGGATGTTCTTATTTTCTAATTTGGTAAAAATAAGGATAACAGAAAATTTTCTTTCCCATCCAGATTGTTTAGACAACTTTTATAAAAAATTTAAAATTTTTTCTGATATTGAGCTTCTGTGATGAAAGCAAAATACTTCTACTGACATAGAATCAGTCTCCTGACTTTCCTTTTTCTTATGAAATGCAAAAAAAAAAAAGCACAACGAGTATAAGAAAGATAGTGTCTGAGCAGATTATTAGCTTCACCTTAAGCTTGTGCTATAGAAATATTCCAGCTTTTCTACTTCTTTGAGAGAAGGAAACGTTACCAAAAACATTTTCACAAAATCAAGACATAAGCAACATATTTTACAAATATGTGTAAATAAATATAATAGTTAAGAAAAATAATCTCCTAGATCTTTACAAATTTTTACATTTAACTTACCTTGTGATAAACCAGGGGTGCCTAACTTTAGAGTCCTGTATGTGCAGTTTCTCCCAAACTCAGCCCTGATGGAGAGTTTTCTCTCTGAGTTTTTATAGTCTCAGCTATACACCCCTTACTCCAATCCCTGCCTTTGCTGTCTCTTACATCATTTCTACAGATTTTCCACTGAACATGTTCCCAAGCCTCTCTTCAAGCTCCCTTCTCTCTCTTTCCCCTCCCTCCCTCCTTCCTCCTTTTCCCCTCCCTCCCTCCTTCCTTCCCTCTCCCCCTTTTCTTCCTCTCCTTATTTTATCTATTGCTTTGATTATGGCACTTAAGTAGCAATGGGAGCTTAACTCTGGAAAATTTAATTCTACATTTAGTATTGTGTTCCGTTTCTGACCCATCACCTCTTCCTGAGGTTTTAGTCCAACTCTGAGTATTACAAATCATATTTGGGAAATTAAATGCACGAAGATTTGTTAAAGTCACCAGGGCTTTTCAAAGTATGATTTAGGGAGATTATAATCAGAAACCCAAACTGATTTATTGGTGTGTTTTTTGGACCTTTAAATTAAATGATTGTCCATGGAAATGATGAATAGTTCCAGCCTCGGTCAGGTGCACAGTGCTGTGTCAGTGAAACCAGCAGCTACTTCATAATTAACATGGCTATACTGGGAAGGCTGTCACTAGCAAACCTATAAATACCAAACTGTGACATGTGGGCTATAAATGCAGATGTTGTAATCATTCTTATCTTGCTCTTGTTCTCCAGTATTTTAATTTCCTTTCAACCAAAATATTCCTGCCTCTATCTGAAAATTTTCTTCATTTTCATCTCCTACTACTAACACATATATCCTTACATACACAAATTAGTAAAAAGATAAATGCCTAAGTTTTAAAGGTAATATGTTATGACATTAGATCATTATTGACTTATTTGCTTCATCAGCAGGTCCCCATTTAACAGATACAGAGACTGAGGCTCAGATAAATCAAGTGTCTTGAAGAGAACACACAGCTATGGGTTACTAGCAGAGCCGGATTTCAAACATAGATTTCCCTAATTCCATATCCAGTTCTTCACCCATAGCTGCATTTCTGACTCACTGTTTAAAAACTAGAAAAGAGAATCCAAACCAGATTATGTTTTTGCACAAACAGAAATAAAATTGTTCTTTTTGGTTTTGCTTAAAAGCCATTTAAAATACTACTCACTAGTATAGGAACTATTACATGGTTAATTTGGAACTAGATAGGGGAACTGACCAGAGCACACTGAATTGGTGGAACAGTAAAATGCTTCATTTTTATGAAGGGTTTCCAGGGATAACATATGTCTCAACAAGTTTGAAATCCGAGTAGTTGGCAGTGATAGTTCACAAGTCAAGATAAAAATACAGCCTAGTTGTAGACCCTTGTTTAGACATTACTGCCATAAAACAATTATGTTTGCTTGAATGCACATGATGGAAAACTCTCAATATAGATTTAACGGATGCATCATAACACTACCATAGCCAATATTCCTGACGTACCTTCTACCCTTATTGGAAATGCCTCCCTTAGCATGCTGACAAGTGATATCTGTGGCTGATTTATTCCAGATCTGTCCCTGCTTAGACAGTCCAAAGATTCCACCCTATTTGTGGATTTTGTTGACCTAATTCAAAAGTTTGACTTAACTGTTCTGCAGCAATAGAAATAGAAACAGTTTATTCCAGGAACACAACCATGGTACATTTAAGCCACTTATACAGACTTCTGTACATTATACACTAAGTGACTTATTGATGCATTTTTACATGACAAAAAAATTCAAATATCTTTAAAGAGTAGAGGAGAAATGAATATATGCAAACAAAGAGAAGATGAGGAAATAATCATCCAGTGATAGATGGGAAGAAACTTAAGATGAGAAAGGGAGAAAATATTAATGAAAGATTTTTCAGATAGCATATCATTAATTTCCCTGACAACCTTGCAAAGGAGGTATTAGTCACATGGAACAGATGCAAAAAAAAATAAGCTCCACTTAAATAGATAGCCCAAGTTCTCATGGCTTCAAAACGATGGAACAGGTGTTGAACCTGTTAGCCATATCAGTCTGGACTCTGGCAGTAAAGAGAAGTTGAGGGAAGTTGAGGGAAATGTAATTTGGGCATAGTGTATAGGAACCAGAAGGGATAGTGCAATAACATTAACTAACAATAGGCATTCTGGTGGAAAGATTGTTACAGGGATCCAGAGACAGAGGGATCCAGGTAGAGAAAGTTGTCCAACCGAAGTCTGACCTTCCATTAAAAGACAAAGCCAGTTATGAGCAATCTATGGGGCAGGGGGACTGATAGAATGAACATTGAAATTCTACTCAACTTCCTTGCTACAATTTCCTCTTTCCCTTTAGTAAAAACCATGGGAAAAGGAATTGAAAGATGGAAGATAAAAGAGCCCCAGGGCTGTTTAACCTTAAAACAGTGCTAAGAGGCATACAATGGGGTCTTATGTAAAGACCAATGTGAGTCTCTCTACCCAATCTAATGTGACACAATTCTTTTTTTTCCCCTCACATATGTATTTCTAGATTATATGTCAATTCTTTTTCCAGTTAATTTAACTTCAGTGAGTATCCTATTGAGATTTATTTTTTTGAGTTTAACAAAGTGAATTTTTTACTGGAAGAATAAATGAGAAAGAACAATAAAAAAAAGACCAAATGTGAGTGAAATTGACATTGTTTTGGTATTGTTATCTAATGCTTCTTTTTTCTTTTAAGTCCAGTTTTTTTAATTTACATACAAAAATTACCCTTTTAAGGAATACACTTTGACATATGTAGACAGCATGAAACTTTCACTGTCATCAGTACTTCTATTAACCTCCAAATTTCCCTCATGCCCCTTTTCAGTCAGTCCCTTTTCCCAACCTGCAGGCCCTAGCAATCAGTGATCTGACTTCTGTGTACAAATTTTTGCTTTTCCCAAAGACCATAGTAATGAAATATCCACTATAGTATTTTCCTTATTATCACTCTTGTTTTATCATTTTCCTATTGGATGCTGCCAGGGTTTGGATCTTTTTTAAATTTATTTTTTTATTTGTTTTAATTAGTATGTAGTATTTGGGGTCTGCTTTTGTTCACTTAGACTAATGCTTTTAAGGTTTATCTATGTCACTAGATTTTTCATTTATTATTTGAGAAGAGGTTGTTTTTAGTCTGTAGATGAACTGAATTGTGACTGTATGTTACTAAGATGAACTCTCCTTGATCATGATGTATTATCTTTTTTTCTCATGATGTATGAGTTTGTTTACTTTTTGCTAATGTTTGTAAAGAATCCTTATTCATAAAAGAGATGGAACATTTATTTCTTTTAAATATATTTTCAAGTTTTAATATCATCAATATGTTGATTTCATAAAATGATTAGGAAGAATTATACTCTCAACTATTTTTTTGAAAGATTGTGTGGAATTTGTATTATTTCTTAAATATATGGAAAATTTTCTAATGAATCCAGCTAAACCTTTTGTTTCTTTGTGGGAAAGTTTTCATGGAAAATTTCAACTTCTTTAACAGGTACAGGATTAATCATTTGAGCTATTTTTTTCCTAAATGAACTCACACAGCTAGTCTTTTAAATATATTCATTTAATTAATTATTAAAGTTCCTTATACTATTATTTTTTTCTTTTTGCTATCTGTAGGATCTATTATGATGTCCCTGTTTTATTCCTAATTCTATATTTTTATCCAAATTTTTCTTGATCAGTCTAGAATTTTATGCATTAAAATAATAATAATTAACCATTTGTTTTCATTGATTTTTCTCTACTATTATTATCATTTAATTTAGTTGACTTCTGTTTTGATTTATTTCCTTTCTTTTGTCTCACTTGGATTTAGCTTGTGCATAATTTTTAATTTTCCTAAGGTGGATGCTTAAATGATTATATATTTCTTTTTTCTAATATATGCACTTTATGTTATAAATTTTCCTCCAAGCACCCACAACTCTATATTTTGAAATGTTCTTTTTCATTTTTTATTGTTTATTTTTATAAGTTATTTTTCTACAATTAGCTATTTAGCCATGTCATTTAATTTTCAAATATTTAGTGATTTTTTATATATCTTTTGCTATTGATTTTTAGTTTAATTATTTTGTTGTTAGCAAAGGTACTTTGCATTATTTAATTTGTTTATAATTTGTCAATATTTGTCTTATGGCTGAGCATTTACCAAACCTTGGTGAAGTTCATGTGGACTTTAAAGAAAATATTTGTTTTATTGTTATTGAGTGGAGTGTTCTATAAATCCTCCCTAAATTTGGCTGACTGATAATGTTTAAATCTATATTTTAATAATTTTTGTCTTTTTTCTCTCAATAATTGAAAGATTGCTGATATTACCAGCAATCTTTAAAATGGTAAATTTTTCTACTTCTTTTTTCAGTTTTATCAGCTTTATTTTCAAACTCTTTATCAGTGTTTACGCTTTTATTATTATAAAATGTATTTATAATAAAAAATCAATGTTTTGTAGTCTACTTTATCTGACACAATTTGTTCAACATAAGCTTTCTTTGTACTATTGTTGGCATAGTATAACTTTCCTCCCTATTCTTGTTTTTTTAGTCAATTATTTACAAATAGGTTCCCACTGAGAGATTTAAGATTTATCCATGTCACTAGTTTTTTTTTTTTAAGCTTTTTCTTTAATTATTGGGAAGTGGTTGTTTTTAGTCTATAGACAGACTGAATTGTAATTGTGTGACAGGATGGCTTTATGCTCCCCACTTCCTACATTCTGACAAACTCTAAAGTTCAATTGATATGTTTTGACCATATATATATATATATATATATATATATATATATATATTTTTTTTTTTTTTTTTTGGTGGGGGAGGTGGGGGAGTGGCTACTGAGGATTGAATTCAAGGATGCTCAACTACTGAGCCACATCCCCAGCCCTATTTTATATTTTTTTTAGAGACAGGGTCTCAATGAGTTGTTTAGTGCTTTGCTGTTGCTGAGGCTGGTTCCTCCTCCTCCTCCTCCTCCTTCTTCCAGTAGTGGGGATTGAACCCAGTCCTTGGCATTGGCTAGTTGAGTACTTTACTACTGAGCTACAACCCAAGCACAGATGTTTTCTTTCTTTTTAATCTTTTTTTTTTTTTTTTTGGTT